CGGTTTCAACGTCATTTACCGTGATCTGAAGCCCGAGAACATTCTTCTCGATTACACTGGCCACATTGCCCTGTGCGATTTCGGTCTGTGCAAGCTGGACATGAAGGATGAGGACCGGACAAACAGTAAGTCGAGTCCGAATGAATTTGTGTCAGCCTACTAACACCTCCTAGCGTTCTGTGGAACACCAGAATACCTCGCTCCGGAACTCCTTACTGGCGCCGGCTACACCAAGTCTGTCGATTGGTGGACACTGGGTGTTCTCCTATACGAGATGTTGACCGGACTGCCTCCGTTCTATGATGAGAACACCAACGACATGTACCGCAAAATTCTCACCGAGCCTTTACACTTCCCTGGCCCTGAGATCGTGCCACCGGCCGCACGCGATCTCTTGACCCGCCTGCTGGACCGCAACGCTGAGAAGCGACTGGGTGCTAAGGGCGCAGCTGAGATCAAGGCGCACTACTTCTTCCACAGCATCGACTGGCGAAAGCTTCTTGAGAGGAAGTATGAGCCCAGCTTCAAGCCTAATGTGGTACGTAATGTCATCATTGTTCGAGGAGTCAAATCTAACATGCCCTCAGGTTGACGCAAAGGACACTGCGAACTTCGACCGCGAGTTCACTTCCGAGGCTCCAACAGATTCATATGTCGATGGTCCCATGCTTTCGCAGACCATGCAGCAGCAATTCGCGGGATGGTCATACAACCGCCCTGTTGCTGGCCTTGGCGACGCTGGTGGCTCGGTGAAGGATCCATCATTCGAGGGTGTGACAGAAAGATAGTGCATTCCTGGGCGTAACAAATTAGGATTCGGGAAATCTCCGTTGAGTATGCGTGTGGCTTGTCACGGCGATGGAGCCGACACCAGGCACAACACCCACCGGCTTTGGATCCACAGATAGAAGCCGTGGTGATTGGTGGGATCTCAGCGCTCTTTGATGCTTTTTTGGGTTCAGGTGCAATGGCATGGCGCTTGAGGCAGCATTTGTGTGAGAGAAGCCTAAATTCAGGCAAGCAAATCAAGACGATATCCCCTTTGAGTTTGACATGCACGAATCTTAGTGATCGGCTTTGTGGTGCTTGCAAATGCTGTAGGGCTGTCGGGGTGGGACCAACGGGATGTCGTGACAGCAAGCGCGTGGGAAAAGTGGTGCCCCTCCTTCCCTCAACGAAGCTCTGACGCAAGCGGGGCCAGGTCTCGGCCGCGACATTTCTAATGACATCGGCCAAAACAACAACCTTCACCTTACTCACACCTTCTTCATCATCTCACACTTGCAATTGATCCTACCCCTCTCCAATTGTCCAAGTTCAAACCTTTATACCCCAACACCTAATCCCGTAACACAACATGCCCGGCTTCGCACAGGCCTCTGACCTCAACGCCTGGTCGGCGCTCCAGGACCACCACCAGAAGCTTGGCAAGGACATCGTCCTGAAAGAGTACTTCAAGAAGGATCCTCAGGTAAGTCCAGAAGAAGCTATCCTAGTACGTTTGCTAAAACGTCGTAGCGATTCGAGAAGTTCAGCCGTACCTTCAAGAACGATGCCGAGAACTCCGAGATCCTGTTCGACTTTTCCAAGAACTTCGTCACCGAAGAGACACTGAAGCTCCTCATCGAGCTCGCAAAAGAGGCTGGCCTCGAGAAGCTCCGCGATGACATGTTCGCTGGCGAGAAGATCAACTTCACTGAGAACCGCGCCGTCTACCATGTCGCCCTTCGCAACACCTCCAACCAGGAGATGAAGGTCGATGGCCAGAGCGTCGTTGAGGACGTCAACTCTGTTCTCGACCACATGAAGGAGTTCAGCGAGCAAGTCCGCAGTGGCGAGTGGAAGGGATACACTGGCAAGAAGATCGACACCATCATCAACATCGGTATTGGTGGTTCTGACCTGTATGCAATTCCACGCGGCATGGACATGCTTCAAAGACGTGCTAACTCTTATTAGTGGCCCCGTCATGGTCTCAGAGGCTCTCAAGGCTTACTCCCAGCGTGATCTCAAGATCCACTTCGTCTCCAACATCGACGGTACCCACATCGCAGAGGCCCTCAAGGACTCCAACCCAGAGACCTCTCTCTTCCTCATCGCCTCCAAGACCTTCACCACCGCCGAGACCGTCACAAACGCCAACACCGCAAAGTCATGGTTCTTGAAGAGCGCAAAGCAGGAGGACATTGCTAAGCACTTCGTCGCCCTCTCCACCAACGAGGAGGAGGTTACCAAGTTCGGCATTGACAAGAAGAACATGTTCGGCTTCTCTGACTGGGTTGGCGGACGTTACAGTGTCTGGAGTGCCATTGGTCTGAGTGTTGCTCTCTACATTGGCTTCGACAACTTCCACCAGCTCCTCGCTGGTGCCCATGCCATGGACAAGCACTTCAAGGAGACTCCTCTCGAGCAAAACATTCCCGTCATCGGTGGTCTTCTGAGTGTCTGGTACTCCGACTTCTTCGGTGCCCAAACCCACCTTGTCTCTCCGTAAGTTTGCTACCTGGCGTAAAGGCTTAGTCTGACTCTTTCCAGCTTCGACCAGTACATGCACAGGTTCCCTGCCTACCTTCAGCAATTGTCCATGGAGTCGAACGGCAAGGCCATTACCCGCAGCGGCGACTACGTCAAGTACACTACCGGTCCCATCCTGTTCGGTGAGCCGGCCACCAACGCTCAGCACTCCTTCTACCAGCTCCTCCACCAGGGCACAAAGCTCATCCCCACCGACTTCATCCTGGCCGCCCAGAGCCACAACCCTGTCGAGGGCAACAAGCACCAGAAGATGCTTGCATCCAACTTCTTTGCCCAAGCTGAGGCTCTCATGGTCGGCAAGACCCCCGATGAGGTCAAGGCTGAGGGTGCGCCCGAGGACCTCGTCGCTCACAAGACCTTCCTGGGTAACCGACCCACCACATCCATCTTGGCCGACAAGATCACACCTGCCACCCTTGGTGCTTTGATCGTCTACTACGAGCACCTCACCTTCACCGAGGGTGCCATCTGGAACATCAACAGCTTTGACCAGTGGGGTGTCGAGCTCGGCAAGTCTTTGGCCAAGAAGATCCTGTCTGAGCTTGACGAGTCCAAGGAGTCTTCTTCTCACGACGCTAGCACAAGTGGTCTCATCAACGCCTTCAAGAAGAAGTCTACTTTGTAAACGGATGATGTGTGACGAGGCTGTAATGGCTGAACGACTTGATGACTGGAGAATAAATTATATATAGCAAGCATCTCAAGTATCTGTAGATGATACTGAGATCATGGAATACGAATGGACACATTGAAGTATATTGTCGCGCCTATATATATACACGTGTCAAATGTCAAGCTCAGTCGACTCTCTTGCCTCCGCCTCCGTAGCCATATCCTCCCAACCCATAACCACTACCCATGCCGCCTCCTCGTCCGTTGGCGACTGGGAGCCCGTATCCACTGCCTCCGTTTCCAAATCCTCTTCCACCTCCACCATTCATCCTATCCGTAGCATACCTCTTCAGCCGTCTCGGTAATTCAACACCCCGAAAGTAAACAACGCAGACAGCCGCACTCGCCACGGCACTCAAGAAACAGTACACCAACGTACTAGTATAAATATGTCCTCCATATCCACTCCAACCCGGAGGCAGCGTGGTGCTGGGATACCACCGCACACTGAACGCCAGACTCAACGGATCCCCAATCGTAATCTTGGTATTGCGCGTATGGCTCGACACGGAATATGCAGTCGCCGCATCCACCGTCCCGGGCGCCACACTCTTAGGACTAGCATGAACAAGCAGATTCAGATAATTCCCCACATGCAAATGGCTCAACTGCAGCGTGCCCGCCAGCGCAATAATGAGCGGCGTGTACATTGTACTCTGCGTCCCCAGCGCACCCTCCTGTGTGCTTTCATCGCTGACCCGGTATTCGGTTTCTAGGACGCTGGGAGGGAGCGGTTTCGACGGGATGCGGCAGGAAAGGGGCGCGTCGTTGTGGATGTAGAATTCGAGCAGGTGGAAGAATTCGTCCGTTACAAAGTCTATGGTGCAGTTTACGTCTTTCTCTACGCCGAAGTTTAGGTGGAGGGGTTGGCCGGTTTCGTTGCAGGTGGGGAAGGGTATGTATTGGAGGTGGCCGGCGGCGTCGGTGATCTGGGAGGGTATGTGTTAGTAGGGCTGAGGTATGGGTTTGGGGGTATTTGCGCGGGTGGCTTGGGTAGGAGATCGTAGACGTACGTGTTCACCGGTTTCTCTGGTTGGGGTTAGCAATTGCACTCGCACCTTTTTAGATGGGTATTGAGACTTACATGGTCCTGTTCAAACAACTGACTGGTATCATTTCCCCCGGGTTATATCCCCGTGCCTCTTCTGCGCTCTTCATGGGCTCCTGGCCGCTCAACGCTGCTGCGAAGGACGAGAACAACGCGACGACAAGGAGCCATGATGGTGACTTTCGTTGCGATATCATGGCGATTATGATATAGAGGAGGCTCAAGGAGTCGCTAAGCGCATATGTAGTTGGTGCTGCGCGTAAGGCAGCTGCGACGGTCGAGGTGCATGTGTCAACTTGGACATTGTTGAGTACGGATCGAGGTCCCTGGCCTGTGCCCGCCCGCGGCAAAGACACTCCCGGTGCAACTCCGCAATCCAAGCTTCACCTGCGCGACATGGTTGTGAAGACGAAAAAGATGCAGATTTGCTGTACTGAAAGCGGAATGTATTCTGTTTCTGTTTCAGAAGGGCCAATTGAAGTCAAGCTGTATAAAGCCACGTCCTGGATTTGACAATATGATGGGTGGATTCATGTGTATTCAGGGTGACCCTCACAGTATCGTGCGGTATGAAGTATTGCTACATCTTTAGCTTACGGAGACAACCGTGATCTGTTTGTATCTATCAAATCGAGAAGCAGTCATTGCTTCTTATGCAAATGCTCTTATAGTACAATATGTACACATCCGATTTACACATGCCCCTCCAAACCATCCCAAAGTCTTAGAACAAGAGCATTCATGTCTACCATCCCTTCCTCGTCAATTCTGTCACGCGGTTTGTGACGTCCTGGAAACCCTTTCGGAACCTCGCTCTCCACCGCTCAGATGCCAACCGCTTCCGCTTCAGTCCGCCTCTTTCGTGGAACTTTTGCTTGTTGAAGTCGCTCTTGACCTTGTTCCTTGCCATCAAACTTCCCAACATGCCGATGCCCCTCACAATATCCCGTCCTCGGTTGACATCCAACTCTACAGTGCGTCCATATGCGGGGTTCAAGCGCGGGAACTGGGCAAATGTCTCTTCTTGTTGTACAGCGAGTGGTGACGCCTCGGAGGGTTTGTTGGCGAGGGTGGGATTTAGCATTCCATCGGTCGTCGCCATTTGGCTGAAATCCAGGCCTGGCCTCCTACCAGGTCGTCTGCTGCCGGAGCCTGCAAACTCCTCGCCGAAGACGCGGTTTGTTGGTGGGTTAGACCCTGCGTTCCGGGGCATGCTGCCGAGGAGAGCGTCCATCGTCTGTGTAGTATTTCTTTGCGTGGTGGGCTGTGGCCGAGGTTGTGGTGCTGCGGCCTCCCGCTCAGGCATGTAGCGGGCTTGCGGCCGTTGAGCTTCCCGTTCGGGTACGTAGTGCTCGTCGTCGTTCTTTGGCAGTGGTTGCTGCGCAAAGCATCTCGGTGTGTGCGAAATCGCTCGTTGACATGTCCATGACGGTGTTGTCCGGCTCGAGGTGTGCGGTATCCGTGTGAAGTTGGAAGGGCGGAGCAGAAGCTCGCCCAACGATCGTGAGGCCATTGTGGATCTCTGCTGCTACAGTATTGACATGGGCGGAGTGATTAGGCGTGCTGGCGGCGGTCAATTGCGGGATGGCTCCGGTGAATGATGGAGGTCATGCACGTCGCGGTTCCCAAATTTGTCGGCGATATAGTGGTCCGAGCGTTCCTCGAGCTCCAAATCTCAACTGTGACTTCTTCTCTCACTGCAACACGCAACAGCGACCTCGACAATCTATCCAACCTCTCTCTTTACATAATCCCACCAAGTTCGGCGACTGTATATCTGCGCAAGATGTACGGCTATCCTGGTATGTCAAGCGATCCTTTGCGACGCGAACTCAGCTAACATGCGCAGGTGCTCCGGGCTACAACCGCCCTCCGGGCTTCGCAGGCACTCCGCCAGGCATGGCAGGCATGGCGCCGCCTGGAATGGGTATGTGATGGCAATAACTGACAATAGCAAAGCTGACATTGCGCAGGTCCTCCAGGCGCAGCAGCTCCCCCCGGCGTAGCAGTTCCCCCCGGTGTCGCGAACGCCCAAGGCCCGCCAGCAATGAATGCACCACGCGCTCTGCCATCCGGATGGGCACCGCCCACGAACATGCCCACCTTCAACTTCAATGCGCCCGTCATCCGTCTGGGAACACAGGGCGGACGACCTGGCGCTGTCGACAGCCCTGTAGGCGGCCGAAGAGACAACGCCGCACCACCCGGTCGCCGTGGCCTTGGCATGGACAGAGACGGCGATCGCAGGGACGCCGTCCAGCCCGTTAATCCCCCGTCGCGCGAAGATATCGCGCGAACCATCTTCGTCGGCAACATTCCCGATGGCGTTGGAGGCGATGAGGGCATGGAGCGCATCCTGGAGACGGCAGGAAAGCTTGTTCGGTGGACGAGAGCTACCGACGCCAACAACAAGCCCCAGACGTTTGGCTTCGCCGAATTTGGAGACGCTCAGAGCTTGGAGACAGCCGCCGAGATATTCAAAGACGTGCGTGTGCCTACAAAGCGTCAAAAGGCCGGCAAGCCCAAAACCGACGACGGCGAACAAGACGAGGTGGAGACGACCAAGTTGCACGTCATGGTGGATGATGCTTCGATCAAGTACGCAGAGGAATGGAGCAAGACCCGAAACGAAGACGAGGCCACGGTTCAATTTAGGCTCGACAGTGCCAAAGAAGCGCTTTCCTCGGTCCTCGCGAGCTTTTTCAACCCGCCGAACGCACCCCACGTCGACTACGCAGGAGACACAATGATGCAAGATGCACAGGCACAAGACGGTGAAGATGTGGAAGTTGCATTCGTCAACCTTGCAAATGGCGAGGATGAGCTTGCGGACATCCCTGCAGAGATGCGTGAAATTGTCGCCGCAGAAATTGCTGCCTTCCGCGACCGTTCCAACCAACGCGATCGCGAACGACTCTTGAAAGAAGAGGAGCTTGAAGCCGAGGAGCGCAGGCGTAGTGGTAGACGTGCATCCCCACCACCATCCGCCCCTACTGGACCCGGAGGTGCCAATGGTGTACCGCTGGGCCCCAGAGCAGAACGGGGTGTTCAAGGTGCACCCAGTGGACCCAAGGGCTCACAGTTCCCCCGAGACTACCAAGGTGGTGTCAACTTTGTCAATGGCGGTGCCGTACATAACGGTGCATACATCAACCGCGAGGACGACGATGACTCCGCCAGCGACTCGGAACTTGAGCGTCGTCGCAAGAAGAAGCGAGCAGAAGAGGCTGATGAGGCATACAAGAAGCAACTCTCACGCTGGCTCCAGACCGAGCGTCGTACTTTTGCTTCGGTCGAGCGTACAAACGACTACTTCAAGAATATGGACGCGGAACGCGAGAAAGCTCGTGCGGCACAAGCGAAGCAACTCCGAGAATTCGACGATGATCAAGAGGCAGCTTCGAGACGCGATCTCTACTACCGCGACCACAGCGACTGGATCCGCGACCGCGAGTCAGTTCGTGGTCAGGAGGCCAAGGAAGACGCGATCGATCGCGAACAAGAACGGCGCGAGTTGGCCTCGCAGAGGAAGCAGAAGGACCATGCCCGCGGCCAGGCCGATGCCTTCTTGGAGGAGCAAGGCGAAGAGCTTATGCGCAGGGAGGAACAGCGCGAGCCAGCTCATTTCAAGATCTCGCTCGGGGCCGCCGCCAAGAAGCTCGAAAAGACTGCCGCTCCCCGTCGAACCGCCGCCGATGTCGAGAATCTGCTCGAGGACGAGGACCTCACAGATCAATCCGGTGCCAAGAAGCGAACTCTCGTGCCCATCAACTTCGATGCGGCTGTACGTGCAAACCTTACGCAAGAAGAAATCGAAGAAGCCCAGCGACAGTTGGCGCGCGACATTCCCAACGACAAGGAAGGCCTGTGGAAATGGCCCATCGCTTGGGAGCATTTGCCTCAGAAAAACATCGACAAGGATATCAAGCAGTGGGCTGCCAACAAGGTTCTTGAGCTCACTGGTGTACAAGAAGAGATGCTTGTCGACGCTATCGTGGACCATTTGAAGAGCAAGGGCGCACCGCAGCCCCTGGTGGAGAACTTGGAAGTGGCTCTCGATGACGAGGCTGAGTCTCTCGTGAAGAAGCTCTGGCGTATGGTCATCTACTACAGTGAGACCGAGAAGAGGGGTATCAAATGAGGACGTTGCTTTTTGCTCATGTGGAACAGCAATCCATCTTCGACAGTGCCTTTCGGATTCATCACCGATACGGCTCTTGCATTCCTCACGAACCGGGCGAGTGAGTATTTGGGAGGTCTTGGTCTTGTTTGGGTAGTATTGACGCGCTGTAGGGTCCTCGGATCTTGCATCACGAAACGACGTGTAGATAATGGGTGTATGGTTGGAATGGAGAGTCATACCAGGTCCGTCCTTTTACTTTCGATTGTCACACCACTAATACACAGCCGTTCTTCCTTTACCGTTGTTCAAATTTGGATGATGCTTCGCTGTAGTCTTATGCGGCGTAAGTATTATGCGTGCTCTTTTTACTTTGCTGATGTTCAGCATTGAGAGTCTACCTTGATGGTACTCATGATCCTCGGGTTGGACTACTCCTTAAACCCACTCATGCCACCCCGCGGCCGGTAAGCCTTGTTTGCCGCGGTATTTGATCACACTTCACGATCGTAAAGAAGTCGTTGGGGTAGGTCAGGAACAAGCTTCATATTGAACTACTTGCCCGTGTCATCACGGCGGCTTTCTACGTAGTTTCTCCTCGCACGCTGCTAAGCGTTGTCACGCGTCGTCAAGCCCAAGCTTCTCGCCTAGCCGCGAAGCACCTGGAGCCGCGTCCTGGGCAAGGGACCCCTATAGTTCGTGGGGTGTAGCACTGTACAGCTCACGTGTGAGGTAAATAAAATGCCGGCAACGTTGCCAAATGCCCCGATTTTTCCAGCCCCAGAAAGTGGCGCGCCGAGATCTTCCACGAATGATGAGGGGCAAGTGGGGTGGAATTCACGATGGCGCGGGCGGTTGGCACTATTTGGCGTGGAGATGCGTGGAGTGTTGTGCCGGATGCCTTGCCAGTTAAATAGACCGTCTAGATCCTGCCTCCAGACGGAATTAGTATCCCCTCAATCATCTCAACTCGACTTCTTTATTCACCTTCATCTCTTGTTTTCAAGTTTGCCTTGAAAAGAATCTCAACTTCTGGTAGCTTTGCGGGGTATTCCGATCATTCCGAACATCGGTAGCAACACAACGAAAACACCACAATGGCCATTACAATCACAGGTGCTGAGACGAGGGATGTGCGGTTTCCAGTATGCTCCCTAGTCATTCAAGCTATACAATAGAGAAAGAGGAATCTAACGCGTCTGCAATAGACATCCCTTGACAAGACTGGTTCCGATGCTATGAACGCAGCGGGAGACTACTCTTCAGCTTACTGTATCCTACACACAGACTCTGAGTTCAAGGGTCATGGTATGGTAAGTCTAATCTCATTCGATGTTGGCCATGAGTAGAAGAGATGAGCTACTATGGCGACTCCGCCCTGATCATCTCATCTCTTTCCCCAACTCATGGGTACCCCTGAACCGGCCAACTTGTGACCACTTGGCAACTGAATCCATTCGTTTCCTGATTGCTTACAATTTGCAGACCTTCACAATTGGCCGCGGTAACGAGATTGTATGCACCGCCATCGCCTACCTTGCCGACCGCATCAAGGGCCACACACTCGACTCACTAGTTGCCAACTGGGGAAAGACATGGCGCCACCTGGTAAACGACTCTCAACTCCGGTGGATTGGACCCGAAAAGGGTGTCATCCACCTCGCTCTCGGTGCCGTCGTAAACGCCATCTGGGATCTCTGGGCCAAATCGCTCGGCCAACCTGTATGGCGCATCGTTGCAGACATGACACCCCAGCAAATAGTCGACTTGATCGATTTCCGCTACATCACCGATGCCATCACCCCCGAGGAGGCGCTGGAGATTTTGACCAAAGCCGAAGCCGGTAAGAAGGAGCGACTCCAAGAAGCCCTTGATAGCCGCGCTGTTCCTGCATACACTACTTCTGCGGGATGGCTCGGTTACGGTGAAGACAAGATGCGTGGTCTTCTGAAGGAGACACTGTCAAAGGGCTACAAGCACTTCAAGCTCAAGGTCGGCAGCGATATTGCGCAAGATAAGCAGCGTCTAAGCATCGCACGAGAGATCATTGGTTTCGACAAGGGTAATGTGCTCATGGTCGATGCGAACCAAGTGTGGAGTGTACCGGAGGCGATTGAGTACATGAAGGCGTTGAAGGAGTTCAAGCCGTGGTTTATCGAGGAGCCCACCAGCCCTGATGACGGTACGCACCCCCTTCCTTCCCTCTATGCTATAGAGAAACGCATACTGACCTCAACAGTCCTCGGCCACAAAGCAATTCGCGAGGCCCTAAAGCCATACAACATCGGCGTCGCAACAGGAGAAATGTGCCAAAACCGCGTCATGTTCAAGCAATTCCTTGCCTCAGGCGCCATCGACATTTGCCAAATCGACGCCTGCCGCCTCGGCGGTGTCAACGAAGTCATTGCCGTGCTCCTCATGGCCGCCAAGTTCAACATCCCCATCGTACCGCACTCGGGTGGTGTCGGTCTACCAGAGTACACACAGCATCTTTCCACCATCGACTACGTTGTCGTGTCGGGGAAGAAGTCGGTGTTGGAGTACGTTGACCATCTGCATGAGCACTTTTTCCACCCGTCCAGGATTGAGAACGGTTACTACGTTACTCCTATGGATCCTGGTTACTCGGTTGAGATGAAGCCCGAGAGTATGGATCGGTTTAGCTTCCCTGGTGGTAAGGATGGATGGTGGCAGAGTGAGGAGGCGAAGCCGATTTTGGAGGGAATTAAGATCTAAGGATGTAGTTTCGTAATTGTCGAATGAAAGAATCGTATTTGAGCGAATAGATGCCTTGTGCTAAGCGCATATGTCCTTCTGTTACTAATACATCGCGTTCGCCCTCTCCGAGACTACCTGTAATCACACCCCCTCAAGAAAGATACTCCTCCTACCCTCGATGCACTCCTCCAATCCCCCATCACGTAGCGGTAAGATGTGTTTGCGAAAGAACTTATGTTCTACCATACACTTCCTAAGTCTTTGCTCATCAAACGCTTCCTCTTTGGTAAGGAACAACCGAAAATTGCGACATTGGCTCAGTCGAACAGCTAGAGTCTTGCAATGGTCATTGACAACACGCAGATGGTTGCCAAAAGGTACGCAGGTCCCATTTCCATAGAAGACTGAGGGAAGTCGACGTTGAAAAAGCGCTGCCTCATGATACATAAGACACAATGGTCCATATGCCAATAAACGGAATCGGACATGCACCCTGGGATTTTCGATGCAGTAGTCGGCCAGGAGATTTAGCTTATGGCAGGGGTCGGCTAACGTAATGCGCAACTCATCGAAGTGCCCTTTCACGATGAGGCCTCCGACATCCACTCGTTCATCTTTGGAGCGAACTAATGGTCGAATTTCCACAGTTTTGACTTGAGAAGTCCAAGACTTGTCGCATTGGCGCACGAAGCGGATGAACTGATGGGTAGCGTTTTGAGCGCATACGTTGTCTTGGGCGAATACGATATCGTTGTATAACAGTGACAAGTGCTTGGTCTCTTTGTAGAGTTGCTTGCACACGTACTTCAGCTGGTTGAACTCGAATGTAGATTCTGCGGTAGAACACAGCTTTACGCCCTGCGCGGACTCATGTTCGTAATACGCATCCACACATTCTTGGGGTGTTGCGTGCCAGATATCGTCTATACTGTTGACTTCTTCGGCCACTGCCTGGGGTATTGAGTCGAAGTCGATCGAGTCGCGATAGAAGATCTCGTGATGGTTGGAGGTGAGTGCGTATTCGTAGATCGTGTTGCGTATCTCGCCTGGCAATTGGAGGAGGCGATTGGTGCCGTCCTGGGTAGGAGCTGACTTGCTGTACCCACTGGTCATCGAGTCGGAGTCTCCTCGCGCGATTCTGCTAACCGCGCGACCTATCTCGATATATTCCCTAGTTTCAGAGTTTAGGCAGGCAGGAGGGGCAGTGGTAGGTGATGGTGTTTTGGCGGCAAAGAATACAATTATACCCATGCGAAAGGGCAGCCTTGGAACCCATACGTTTAGACTTGGTCAGATGGCAACGAGAAAACTCTTTAATGCACATGTCGAAGGAGCCCAGACCAGTTTCTTACTTGTTGTGGGGATATCATTAGGCGACCCAAGGTAAGTCAATTTGTTTGTAATTATTACGGAATATGCGTCGCTTCCCATGAACTAAATTCTCAGAAATATCCTAGCGATTAGGAGTTATCAGCCACAGGTTCGCATCTCCAACGTTGCTTGCCAGTAGTATGCAGCTCTGTGTGGCGTCTCTAATGATCACTTAAAGTAGCTTCTCGACTCTTCCTTACGATATCTTTCAACTGTGCCATCATTGCCATATCTGTGGAGTTTTGCTGGCTCTCCGTCCTTGGGTCCTTCCAAAGCAGATCAAACTTAATCTCTTTCTGTTCGTTGATACGTCTTACAAAGACTACAACAGGTTCATGTATAAGAGCCGCGGTATCCCACTTGTGAGTCTGAATCTTGAATATAACGTGCTGCACGTTCAATGTGACCCCTGGAGTCTCTTCCAATCCCCTGAAGGTAAAGATGCATGCGTCTAGCAGGCGATGTCGAAGTTCGGGATCGGCTATACTGGCGTCTTTGGCGATTGCGGCAGGGACATTGACGGTAACGTAAGGTAGATGTAGGCTCAGTAATTCGCGGAACGAGGCGAAGACGTCGTCGAAGTATATGCGTGGTTCATTTGCGTCGGCAGGTAGCGAGCGTGTATCGCGCATTCCGAGACGGACTTTCACGTTATGAAGGTGGGAGTGCGTCTGGATCTGGGGCGTGCCGATGACCGTATCTATCTCAGTAGTGGAAAAAGCTACTTGAACCATATCGATGCTCTTCTGTACTGCGCCGTTCATGACTAACTGGCTCTCGGCGACTATCATGCTGGAAAACTCTTGACGGATCTGCTTGCAAGCGCTAAGAAGACCGGTAACGTCTCGCAGGCTGGTAACATCCGGCAGGAGATACTGATAGACTTCGTTTCGAATCTCTGCAGGCATCAATAAGAACGATGAACTCTGCTCTTGTGTAGGTACGAGAACAGGGGTAGGAACATCCATAGTACGTGATATGTCGATGCTTCGGGCGTTGCGAACATCCTGATGAAGCCTTTGTGCGAGTTCGTCGTGTAATCGTCCTCTGTGCTTCTTCGATACGGCCATGAGTATTTTCTGGAGTCTGTTCTTAGGCTTGGTAATCGTGACTGTCGTTGCATTCGCCAAGTCAGGAGCTTGTTGATCGTGTCGCATGAGTCCTTTTCTGCTGATTTGGGTTTCGCGGGGGCGGGGGACATTAATGACTTTTCGGAGACGACATCTTGCCCGCTTGAGAAGAGGTTCTTTCATTGGAATAGACATATGCAATCAGCCTAGACACTAGGATCTGTTTATGCTAGGGTTGAGTCAAGTAGAGCAAGAAGATCGGTCCTAATGCTGCCCTAGGTAGTCGAATATGCCGACAGAAAACTCTTCTCATTCTTATCTAAAATGGCTGTATTCATGACGATGATCGAGCCGAGAAACATGCTGTTGTTCCATAGGTCTACGATTGGCAGCAGCGGTCCAGTCTACCACCCAAAGCAGTGGGGCCAACCTACGAAGGGCAGGTGAGGGGTGGACCGGCCACTCCCAAGGCGTTCTTATAGTGATACACCTCCAAATATATTCCGTGGATTTCACGAGAAAGGTCGCTATCTGGAAGCCCGTTATTGGAAGAGTGGAGATTGGCAGAAGATGAGGCTCAACAAATGTGAGCATCGGGACAGTCGGAATCCGTGGACGTTCCGCGCAGCGGCTATTGAAGGCCCATGGCATGACTCCGATGGTGCATGGCCACCTCGTATCCTCTCAACTCAGATCTCATATATTACTGCCTATGTGCTGCTGAACATTGAAATAAGTATTGATTACAGAAACGCTCGCAGGTTTCCATTGTCGGATTTACTACCCCACCTGCACCCCGCCTCCCCGCTTTGATCACCAAGGTCGACCCAGAAAGCATACCCTCCCCGGAAGCTATTATCAACAGCTACAGTCGCTATGGCTCCTCCTCCAGCTCCGGGCGTATGGTGCCCCGCAGTAACCTTCTACACCCCCGAAAGCGACACGGCAACCTTGGATCTCGCCGCACAGAAACAGTATTTCCAATACCTCTCCAAATCGGGTCTTACTGGTTTAGTCGTTCTTGGCTCTAACGCTGAGGCATTTCTCCTCACTCGCGATGAGAAGAGAGCGTTGATGAAATGTGCTCGTGAGGCCGTCGGCCCCGACTACCCTCTGATGGTCGGCATCTCAGGCTTCTCTGTACCTCAAGTCATGGAGAACATTAGCGACGCAATTGAGGCTGGAGCCAATTATGGACTTTTGCTACCAGCGGCGTACTATGGGCCAGCAGCTTCTAAAGAAGTTGTCATGGCTTTCTACGATGAGGTTGCGCAGAAATCCGAGTTGCCTATCGTCATCTACAACTTCCCAGGTATCTGCAACGGGGTGGACCTTGATTCTGTCACGATCGCCGCGCTCGCAAAACGGAACCCTGGCAAGATTGTCGGCGTAAAGTTGACGTGTGGCAGCGTCGCGAAGATAACTAGGCTATGTGCTGAGCTGCCAAGCGATATCTTCTCTACGTATGCGGGCCAAGCGGATTGGTTGGTTGCTGGCCTTGCGGTCGGAAGTGCAGGGTGCGTGTCGGCATTCAGCAACGTTTTCCCGAAGGTCTGCTCAAAGGTCTACGAGTGGTATACCACTGGGAAGACTCAAGAAGCCTTGGAGCTTCACCGGAAGGCGGCGCTCGCGGAGAGCCCGATCAAGGCTGGAATCGCTCCCACGAAGCATGCTGTTAGTCAATACAGTGCGAAAGCTGCTGGCATCGAGGGCGCCGAGGGGAAGCTTAACCCAAGGCGACCGTACTTGCCAGTTGGCGACGCAATCAAGACGAGCGTAAAGAGTGCCATGGAAGAGCTTGCTACGATAGAGAGCATCTTGTAGAAGAGGCTGGAGGATGATAGGGTTCCCGGGTTAGTTCAGATAGAGGTAATCGCATCTCGCGGCGTGGCAAGCGTAGCATCGACATCATCAGTCTTTGAAAATCAGATACACGATGGACAGGCCTCTTTCTTCTACGTTTTCTAGTTCCTGCCGTGATGCTATGAGCCGAGAGAGATGAGGACTAGTAAGCGTGCAGACCCTTGACTTAGCGGCGCACGTGCCTTATCGATAACCAACATTCACGTCTCGAACTTTTTCCTACTCTACCAAACACGACGAAATGGCACCGCAAAGAGGAGCAAGCGGTATCGAAAAGAAGAAGCGGTCGAAGAAGAGGAGGACGAGAACTGAGGGTACAAGGAGCGCTGTTGAACAGTTCGCGAGGTATACGCTAACATCTGGACAGTCTCATCATCGAGCGAAAGTGACAGCGATGTCTCAAGCGTAAAGAGCCAAAAGGTGGCCGCGGTAGAAGAAGAAACAAAGGTATGCGTGTCGCGTTGAACAAGTTAGATCTGAGCTGACTCGAAGAAGGAGGTTTCGCCAGCCCCAGCACCAGCGCCCGCGAAGAAAGAGAAGAAGAAGAAGAAGTCTAAAACTGGCAGTGTACCAGATGCTCAGCCAGATGAAGATGTCGCTATGACGGATGTGCCAGCTTCTCCGCCAACAAAACAGGCAGCGTCAAAGGCTAGTCAACATGCGCAAGACGATTTCGGCGCCCTCTATCTGCGCAAAATCGCGGCTGAGTTCGCTGACGATCTCGACAAAGTGCGTGAAGCACCAGACTTCAAGGCGAGCAGTGTGCCGATGCTCATTCATGCGCTCAAACAAGGCGAAAGTCTTTACAGTGTAGAGGAGAGAAAGAGGGTCGTAGGCGCGGCGAACGCGTAGAGAGCAAGGGTAGCATGGGTGGCGTTTGGCGTCTGGAAATATTTTTGCACAAAGATAATTATAATGCAAACGGTCGTATATTTCAGAAGGGGGTCCGAACTCGGTCCCATTCATGTGCCAAATCCCCCCCAAAACGGTCATCGAACAGCCAAACGCCTTGCTATGCAGAATCTCGTGAAATCGTCTAGTATGCCTCGACCTCCATACCGCTCCGCCACTCCAACTCGATTGTCCAAGCTAGGAGGTTCGGGTGCTTGATCACAACCATATCATGGGCCAACTTCATGACTTTCTCCCTCTTCTCCGCCTTTTCTCCTGATGGCAGCACCATCAAGGTGTCGTACGCTCTAGCTAGTAGCTTCTCTTCATATTCCCGTCTCAGCTCGTCATCACCCGTCCAGTTGATGATCTCCTCGTATACCCCTTCTAGCGGGCTAGCAGCGTATATCTCGTTCTTGACAGAGGCAGTGGTACCTTCCAGTGTGGCGCCGATACGAAGTCGTCTCTCTTCTATGAGCCGCTTGATTGTGGAAGCCTCCTGTGTCTCGTGGATCTCGGCGATGCGCGTGTACGTTTTTGACGGGTCTGGCAGACGACCTTCGAGGTAAGAGTATACGGGAGAGGACGGCAGCTGGGTACTGAGTGCGCGTGCATATTGAGTCTTGGTGCCATGGGCACGGGCGTGATCTACGAGCTTATCGATGGCAGATTGAGACTTGTGCGCGTCGTCCCTGTTCTTGTTAGCATTGTAATCTCCCCATCTATACATACAAGACATACAAGTTCATGTAGATCTGCGCTAGTTCTAGCCCAACGTCGATGTTCTCATCAACCTTCGCGCCCTTGAGACCTTCGTACATGCCCCTTAGCCCGAGCCATGCCTGTGGGTCTTCAGGCTTGAGCTTGGTCGCGTCATAGTAGGCCTTCGCCGCTTCGTCGAATCTGCTCAGGCCGTCGTTGGCGCGTCCGAGGAACAGGTAGGCGAAGTAGTTTTGGGGCTCTTTCTCCAGCACTGCTGTCGCTTGGTTCTTCGCTTCCTCCCAATCCTTTGCGCCAATGGCCGCCTTCGCAGCCTTCAGCGCCGTTTTTGTAGACATGTCGTAAATTTGGGTAGCGATAGTTTGGGGAGTAGCCGTCCGTACGGCGTTACTTGTGTTATGAAGGTGCCATGAGGAGTGAATTGGAGCTTTGGTGTGGGGCTCGCAGCGTCGAAAGAGCAGGCAATGACGCACGGCATGCTAGCGTCGATCCTGGGCTTCAGCCTTACCAAAACACGAACATCAACGTCAACCACTCTGTAATCTACTTGTCGCTACCCTTCACAATAAAACCGTTCGAACATCTCTGACATTTCGAATCCCTCTCATTACAGCATCTGTCGGCGTTCTGCATTGCATTGGCTGGGTTCAAAAATTCGGATTGCTGTCATGGCGTCACACGCGGACAGTGCGCACGACCTGCTGGACCTCGACATATCGACATTGCGGCAATTTGTCGAGCTCTTCCCCAACGAAGGACTATCAAAAGTCATCACAGGCTGGTTGAGCAGCGGTATATCAAGATACCCGCTTGTAGAAGAAGGCGACTCAAGAGAAGGACCTGACCTGAGTGAGGGTGGGGTAGCTCTTACCCAAGATGTCCCAGTCTCACAGGAGGACTGTCTGGTGTTGATGACTGAAGGAATTACCGAGGCTGGAAGATCGCCACTTGCACATTGCTTGCTCGGAGACTACTACCTGTCCTTGGAGGAGTACGAAAGCGCGGTCGAGAGCACAAGGAAAGGCTTGAAATATGCTGCTGCGGAGGCTAAGAAGACCGACTTATCACTTCAGAGAACTCGCGACGCTTTGAGTAGTACGCTTGCTACTGCTTTAGTCTACTACCAGGCCCCAAGAAATCATCTGGAAGCCAAGGGTATCTTCGAATCCATCTTGAAACGCAAGCCACAGTTCACCTCTGCTCTCATCGGCATCGGGTTGGTCCTAGAAGAAGAGGAGGAATATGAGCAAGCCTTCCAATTCCTTGAGAAGGCGCTAAAGCAAGATCCCTCGAATGGTCGCATAGGTGCAGAATCAGCCTGGTGTCAAGCACTTGCCGGTGACTACAAGGCCGGTCTTGAAAGGCTCCAAGAGTACCTCGATTACCCGCAGCTCGATGCCTCCAAGCAACGTGGCCGCGAGCTCCGCGCACAGACACTTTATAGAATAGGTGTATGCATATGGGAGCTCGATCCGTCAAAGCAAGCGAGGAAGGACCGCCAAGGAACGTATGCGAAGCTGCTCGCGGCGATCAAAGCAAACCCGAACTATGCGCCCGCATATACTCTGCTTGGCATTTTCTACGAAGATTACAACAAGGACCGCAGACGAGCACGGCAGTGCTTCCAAAAAGCCTTCGAGCTATCACCCTCTGAGGTCGTCGCAGCTGAGCGCCTTGCTCGCCTTTTCGCCAATCAAGGCGAGTGGGACATTGTCGAGGTCGTGTCCCAGCGAGTTGTAGACTCCGGAAAAGCCCGTCAGACACCAGGATCGAAACGAAAAGGCGTCAGCTGGCCGTTCTCTGCTCTTGGTGTCGTCCAGATGAACAAGCAAGAGTATCAAAAGAGTATTGTGTCCTTCTTATCCGCACTACGCATTAGTCCGGATGACTACTACTCTTACGTCGGTCTCGGAGAGAGCTACCACAACTCTGGTCGATATAACTCAGCATCACGCGCGTTCAACTACGCAGAAAACCCGACAGATGGCGTTGTATTGAAGAGGTCTGACCAAGAAGGGTGGTTCACCAAGTACATGCTCGCCAACGTCAACCGCGAGTTGAGTGAGTTCAATGAAGCTCTTGCAGGTTACGAAGCTGTACTAGCGTCTCGGCCGAAAGAGTTTGGTGTCTCGATAGCACTTCTGCAGACTCTCGTAGAGAAGGGTTGGCATTGCATTGAAACCGGTTTCTTCGGCGAGGCTGCCGATAGCGCGACCCGCGGTATCGAAGTTGCGATGTCGATTACCGAGTACAAGCCAGATGCTTTCAACCTATGGAAAGCTGTTGGCGATGCATGCAGTTTGTTCACTTGGGTTCAAGATAAACTCAAGCAGTTTCCCGTGGAGCTGATCGAGAAGGTGCTGCGCAGCAAGTCGGATATGAACATCGATTTTGATGAACACAAGGATATCGATGGGCTTGGACAGGATGCGTTGGCTGCACTTTCCGCAGATAAGGACGACACCCTTACCAAGGTGCTCAAAGCCTCAATACTTGCACAAAAACGAGCAGTTTCCAGTTGTGCGCATGACATACACGCACAGGCTGTAGCGTGGTACAACCTAGGCTGGACAGAGTACAGAGCACACGTCTGCTTAGAGCAGGAAGGCATTGAGGGTTCGAAACTCACAACATACCTTCGAGCAGCCATGAAGTGTTTCAAGCGTGCCATCGAACTAGAAGCCGGTAACTCGGAGTTCTGGAACTCGCTTGGTGTCATCACGACTACACTGAGTCCCAAAGTCGCTCAGCATGCCTTTGTTCGCTCCCTACATCTCAACGAACGAAGTGTGCACACCTGGACGAACCTAGGAGCGCTTTACTTGTTACAAAATGATCACGAACTTGCGCACACTGCCTTCTCAAGGGCGCAATCGCAAGACCCCGACTACTCATTAGCATGGGTCGGCGAAGGCATCATCGCATTGCTCACCGGAGATTCCAACGAGGCGCTCTCCCACTTCACTCACGCATTCGAGCTTTCAGAGTCGTCACTGCTTTTGACCAAACGTCAGTACGCCGTCTCGGCTTTCGACTTCCTTGTGTCTTCGCCTTCGTCATCCAGCAACGTCACGAACCTCATACAACCCCTGTTCGCGCTCCAACAGCTCAACATACAAGCACCCTACGACATTCCGCACAAGCATCTAGTGGCGTTGTTCTTAGAGCGTATTGGCAACTATGACGCTGCCGTAGGAGCTCTGCAAGCTGTGAACGAGACAGTTGAGCAAGAGTATGAGAAGTCAGAGTCGCTGGCGTCCCTGGCTCGGGTTGCACAAGCCAAGACAGATCTGGCCCGCAACCTTCTCGCTATCGAGTCCTTCAAATCGGCTGTTGAAGAAGCTGAGACAGCACTTGATCTGCTTTCTGAACTGGACAGCGATACCAAGCAGTCTGCATTATCCGGGGACCAGATCTCGAAGACTAAGCTATCAGCTCGTCTCACAGCTGGTCTAGCACACTACTTTAGTGGCTCATTCGACGCCGCGATACCGTACTTCCGAACATCGCTCGAGGCAACTGGGGCCAACCCAGACATCATCTGCATTCTCGCAGAAGTACTTTGGGCCAAGGGTGGAGAGAACGAGAAGCAAGTGGCTCGCGACCAGCTCTTTACCGCCATTGAGAAGCACGAAGGCCATGTTGGCTTGCTAACCCTCATTGGCGCCATGACAGTACTCGACGATGACTTGGAAACCATGGAAGCCATCAAAGACGATCTAGACCGACTGCGCACGAACAAGGAGCTCGGCGACGAACAGCTGGCACGCGTGGAGAAGGTTATCGAAGCCATCTCAGTCAGTCTAGGTGGTGAGGAGCAAGAGTTAGATGAGGCTCGTCGCAGTGTCATGCTTGCCCCCTGGAAACACACTGGTTGGACAGAGCTCGCCGACGCTGCTGAAGGTGATGCGTTCGTCAGTACGCTTGCAAAGGAAACTGCGATGCGTAACGCACCGCCGAATGGTACGCTTGGTGCTGTTGGGTTGGCAGGCGCGATGGGTGGTACTGGCGATGTGGGAGATGCTCAGAGAGCAGTTGTATTAGCGCCTTGGGTCGCCGACAGCTGGAGTGGCTTGGCTGAGTGTGTTCAAAGTGCTTGAACAGGGATAAAACTCCCTTACAGGCGTATGATATGAACATCTCTACGCCACAATGTCGTTGGGAAAAAAAGCATTAGAATTAGCGACAATATTTTCAAATACAATGTAGCATATCTGCGTGGTATTTGCCTCCGTAAAACG